GACAGTTCTCCGTCTAGCATGACCGCGCTTTTCGTACACTCTGTCATCTTCTTGAGCACTCCCCACATTTTCCCCTTGATCCCGTATGTGAACAGTTGTTTCAATAACCCATTTCTTCATACGGTGTAGTATGCCTTTTTCACGTCCAGGAAGAAGTAGTGCGGCAGCTTGCCCGCCCTCATTCTACCTTGGATGATTCTCCCTACCGTAAATACGTGGTCTCTACGCACCCCCTCTTCTTGCGGACACCTGCCTGGCCCTCACTAATGCTATGTTCCTTCTCCAATACTCCCACTATCCTATCGTTCAGCAGCTTACATAACACTTTTCCTACTGTGTTCAACAGTGTGATCCCCCTGTAGTTTCCTGGGTCAGTCTTGTCTCCTTTCTTAAACAAGTTCACAACTACTCTGGCGTACACTCGTTTTTCCACACCCAATTCTATAGCGAGCGGTACCATCAGCTGGATCACCCCCTTCCCCCCAAACTTCATGAACCCGTTGACTATCCCATCCGCTCCTGCTGCTTTGTGGCACTTCAGCTTGTTCACACACGCCTCAACCTCGTCCTCAGTGAACTCCGTTTCTAGTTCTACGTTCCCAACGTCTGCCTTCGATGTCTTTTCTTCTTGCTGGGCCCATGCGTCCACCTCCTTCTTAAACACTTGGTCGAAAGGTTGATTCTCCGAGGGCACTCCAAGTCACTTGTAGTGTCCTGCTAGTTAGTGTGGGGGTGCGATACTTCGGCGAAAACATTACCGCAGGACTGCAAAGACCACGAGGGTTATTTTCTGATACGTTACGTCGTGCAATAAACGTGAAGTCTCGAAGCATAAGAAAAATATGTTTTGTTGTCGCTCGGTACTCAGCTAGAAAAACTTGCTGGTGTATCGACCCCGCCCGCCGCCGCCCTCTCATTCCTCCCTTTGTGCTTTCCCCGCCGCACCCGTACAGTGAAAAGGCGGAAAATACATTCCAGCGACTGCAAAGCAGGAGGAAGACGGGAAAAGTGAAGCAGAAGTTTGAGCTCCATGACCTTCGCGACTTGAAGGCCGGCATCAGCATCGTGGGAACGTGAGGACTCACACGAGATTTGATAACTCGACCTGCATGTCTCTTACGACTCGACCATTTATGCTATACCGCTATAAACAAGTAGATAGCGTATCGCATGCAGTGCCTTGGCCCGACAGGGGTAGTGCTCGGTAAAAGTGGTAGTGATAGCCCCCGACCTGTGGTTGTGATGGTGGTGACGAAGCTTGCCGCGCGCAGGAAGTTCCCGTACAAGTATCGCCACTCCGTCGTTGGCTGTACGGTTTTAGCTGCTTTTTTTCTATGCACAATTTACAACAGGAGAGAGACTGCTATTAATCGCCAAGTATGGCTGTGGCATATCCTCGGCCGCCAGAAAACGGAAGGCCGCAAGCGCGTTTGGTGGTCACGGGAGGATGGACGGGGCGGAGCGAGCAGCCAAGTGCTGCTGGTGTATATGATTGATCACTATTAGAGGGTCATTGGAATGTGATGTGCAGAGTAAACATGCTTCTTTTCGGGAATGAAATGCAATAGAAGATTTCAGTGAGGCAATCTTCCCCGTCCACAGCAACGGAGGAGAAGATGCGAATAGCAAACGTTTGGGTTGTCCCATTTGCCGGGACAAGAGGCCTCAGCCAAATATTGTACCCACGTTCTAGCATCAAAGTGAAAGGCAGCGGAGCAGAGAATTCAATTGAACCTATCGGTGCGTCCTGATTTGGCACTCCCCCACCGCCACCACCCCCGCTCCCGGTGTTTACCATCGGGGTTGGGTTTTCGTCGCTTGGCAACGACGTTGTAAAACAAGCCGCCCCTCCCGGTGTTTGCCATCGGGGTTGGGTTT